GCTCACTGCCAGGAGCTAACAAGCAGCCAGGACTGCAGCCCTTGCTATCAAAGGTACCAACAGAGAATTACTGCCAAGGACACAGACAATCAGAAATGCTGGTTTGCACAGGATGGTTTCCTTACAGAAATTCCCCTCATCAGAGCATCTCTTTGCTCCAGGTTTGGATGCTGTGTACACAAAGAGCAGTGACAGGACAACGAGCCTGGATCTCACAGCACAGGACAGATGGGGGAACTGCAAGGGACTCGAAGCTGAGGCCTTACACATTTTACCTTACACATCTGCTTGAGAAGGAATTTCTGGCCCTGGGTCTGCAGTTCACACCAGCTACTCAGCTCTGGCACAAATCTGCTCTTTAGTTGCAAAGCTCTGTGTGAGCTTTCATGGCTGGAGCAATGAGCAGCACAGAAATTGTTATTGTGTCCAGGCTCTTCAGCTCCACTTTCATGGCATATGATTTTCATATTTCTTTTTAAATTCCTCTTACACCATTTTTTTTCCTTTTTAACAGCACAATAATCCATCTCATACCCATTCATCCTTCTGATTATTCTCCTTGTCAGCTATTTGTACATTTTTACCTTTTGTAGGAATGCCACATGAAAGAATAAACTTAATAATAGAGAACATTAATAAACACCCTTGCATGTCTGGCTCTTTTAACTTCTCTAATCCACACTTTGTTCCCTCTTTTAAGTAAGGTCCCACACAAGACTCGCTCAGCTAATCAGAGGATAAACTTAAAAGGAAGAGATGAATAAGTCACATTAAACTGGGAAGCAGCCAACCTCTTTTCAAAAAACCAAAGGTGAAATCTCAGCCCCAAATGAAGCTCCTAGCAAAACTCTCCTTGATTTCAGGAGGATTAAACTCATCATGGATGTAAGGCCTTCGTGGCCTGTCACCTGTTTTCCCAGCAAATGCAGCATGGTGGCTGTTTCTCTAAGGATCCTTGGCTTTACTGGTGATTAGTTTTAAAATGTGCTGACAGAATTTGAAAATAAGAGTTCCTAATCTCCACTTCTTACTGCACTTAGTTTCTCTACAAAGTATTTTTAACTGTTCCCTCCTAAAATTATATAGGAGAGGAAATAAAGGTTTTGCTTCCTGGATAGCAAGGGTGGGCAGCGAGGAAAAACCACCTGCCTCCGTTTACAAAGAGAAATCACTGGATGCTTTCATGCCTTCCAGGTATAAATTTGATTCAGTGGGTCACTAAATTAAAGCAGTGATAAGCAAAATCAACCTTTTGTGCAAAGAGATGAGAAAAGAAGGTACAAAGCTCTCTGAGACACAGGGTTTGTTAATCATGTAGAGAAAACTGATGTCCAAAGTATCTGCTGTAGCTCCTGTGAGCAGGAACTGGCTTCCTCTCATGTCACCAACACGTGGCTCCAGAGCTACAGAGACTCTCCAGAGCTAATTATTACACTGGCTAATTACTACAAGTGTTCCAGCCAGTAACACCAATGAACACAAATCTGCCCCCAGCCATTTGACAACTTGCTGCAGATGTTTTGCAAATTTCCAGAAGAATCCTTTTCCTCATATGCTCAGTGGAAGGGAAGGCATGGAGCTTTTCTTACTGATCTTTGATAAATGAATTTTTAATGAAAACAAAACTCTTTCTATCCTTTGGCAGCCCAGAGATCTTTGCCTCTCAAGGAGAAAGAAAATGCTGAACTGATTCAGAAAGACATTTTTATAGAGAAAGAGACAATTTTACCTATCTTTTAGCACCAATTATTCATACCCAGCTGATTGTTATCACTTTGGTTCCAAGAGGATGGATTATTACTGAATGATTTCTACTGAGGCACTGTTAAAAATGAACATTTATTATAAATTAAGTTGAACAAGAAGGGTAGGCCTGCAGCTTAGCACCACAGCAGGTCTGAGATCACTTCCCACTCTCCCACATTTTATCTGTGCAGAGAGTTAAGCTCTGCTGCAGACCATTTCAATTTGGCACAGCCAGGGTGACAAACCTTCCTTTTCCCACATCTTTGCCATCCCATATAGTGCAGATACAATAAATAATAAACAATATATAACATTGTACAGAAATCCTGCCCTCGCTGGGAGAGACCAAGAACACCTCATGAGAAATAAGTTTTGGTACAGGGTCTGCAGAGTGGAAACAGATTTAGCAGATCTTATAGAGGTCCCAAAATATGGCAAAGGTAGGAAAAAAATCCACTTTATACCTGTAACACATTACGCATATTGAAATTCGTATCTTTTTAACAAGTGTTGATTACTGTTAATTACTTTATTTACAATTAAAAATAGAAGTTCTAATCAATTCAAACCTTCACTATCTTCAGCTAATGTGACAGTGATCTCTGGCTCCTCAGAGGAAAAGGCTCTCAACAGGATCTGAAGTCGTCCTGTTACAGTTCAGGGTAATTAATGTTTTCCTGTTACTGCTGTACTATGGACCAGAACAGGCTTAATTAAAACCTTCTGCTATGGACTGCAAAGCTGGATTTTTATATAAATATGTGGATGAACCACAAGCATTTTTTCATGTCTGTTTCCATTGCTAATTTCTGGCATGTAAATTGGATAAAAGTCTATCTTCCTTTCAAGTATAGTTTGAGATCTGTGTTTGAAATATTGTTAGGAGGTAAATGCAAAAAGAGCCAGATTTACAGAGCAAACCTCGAATCAGAGCTTACAAGAGCTGTATGACTTGGTAATCACCCCTGTAAAACAAATAGAAAATTTTTAAAAGTACAGTCAATTCAGAGAGTGGCATCTCAGGTAAACCACTAAAACCTTTAATCTTTTCATCTTCCCAAAAATCACCTTCTCAACTCCTGAATTACCTCAGGGACTCTCAAAAACTTGATTATTCAAGCAGTTTCTGGTCTTTGTGAGTGCAAAATTGGAATTTGCTTTGATTTGAGGTTCAATGGGTTTCACTTCCCGGAGTGAAACCAAAAAGTCAGGATATACATAAATGCCATTATAATGTATAATATAAAAGTAGAAAAGAGCCAAAATTGCCTTAGCACTTCTGTGTAGCTTTCTGTGCAGCTTTAGCAGTTAATTGAGCCTACAGTGGTTCTTTCATTTACAAAACTTCTGGGTATGGGGTGTGCCTGTGTCTACCTTCACACCCATCTGGGGATAAATTGCAAGCTCTTTCCACCTCTAAACCACTTTTTTTTTACAAAAGTTTTACTTTTTTTTTTTAAAATCAAACAATGTTCTGCTCTTTTAGAGGGAACTGTGCCCCACAGAGGAGACAGGGCGCTCCCAGGGGATCAGCTTGGCCCTTGCCTTTGCACCGAGGCCCAGCTGCAGCTGCCATGGCCAGTGACTTCTGCAGGGGAACGGGGCCCAAAATCCTGAGAGAGCCTCCCGGGAAAGCAGCTGGAGAAAACCCAAAGCCCCAAAACTGGCAGGAGACAAATCACAGACACTGTGTACAGCTGCCAGTCCCACACAAGCTGGAATCCAGACAAGATGGAAATTGCCACTAAACAACTGGAAATAGGAAAAACTGTATTTTCCAGATGAATGAGACAAGACAAGATTAATGTTTATCTGAAAATTGGGAAGAAAATAGCATTATTTGTTTTCTAGCTCAGTGTATCCTACTATAGTGTTTGTGTTTTCTCATGTTTTGATGCTGGTGGTTTTCTCCAAGGACATAAAGGTCTCTGCTGCAGAAATTGGGGCAAGAGGCTGAGGAAAGATAATATTGGAAAGAAAAGCATCTCACCATCTGCCCACTGAGGGGCTTTTTTCTACACATCATGCAGAAGCACAGGCCAGTTTTGGGTACTTTGATCCTGAAAGGTACAGAGTTTAATTCAAAGTTATCTTTGTCTATGGAGAAAAATAGCAGATGGTCTGTGAAGTGATTGCAGGATCCCAGAGATCATACTCAGAGCAGGAGCCACAGAGGGAATTTAATCAGGATGTCACCGTACAAAACACACTCTGTACAAAAGAGAGAATGGGAGCCAAACCAAACCAGCTCTCAAGATCACAGTTTAAATGGAGAGGAACAAGAAGAATGGGTTCTGTTAGCCAGGAAACACCGGCTTCCTTTCCTCCCTCATGCACCATTTTTACTCCTCTGCACAAATGACACCCCCAGGTCGCTCTTCTTATGCTACTGCATGGCACTGCTTGGGAGGAGCCCATTCCAAGCAGGATTAAACTGGATAATCAGCTACCAACCATCTTTGTAATAAAGCTTCTCCACCTTAAGTTGGCACTGCCTTAGCCCTTTATTCCCCACAGAGTCAATAGTTCTGATTTTCTAAAAGATGAAAATGAAGTGTCCATTATGCTTGGAAAATGTCAGTGCCTCTACTTTGTGATGTTATGTTGTTGCTGTGATCGCCTGCCCACTGTCAGTGAACTCTCATTTGCACTGTGGAACTGTAAAGAGCCTCCCAAAAATGACAATTCCTGAGTCCCAACCACACACTGCACCATGAATGATGAATAATGTCTGCAGCCACTCCCCAGCCCCTTCTCCTTCAGCCAAGTTCTAATTGCAGCATCACACAGGATGAGGAAAGTTTATAGTTGCTAAAATAGCATGGACTTAATTTCAGTCTTTCTCATGCCAATTTGCTAAAGCAGCTCAAGAGACAACGTTTGCCTCAATTTAAGAGATCCTTGAAATACTCTGTGGGGAGGAAGAGAGAGCTCCCATCACTTCTGTAGTGGCTGATCATGTGAGAAATGCAGCACTGCCACCAGCCCAGCAAGGCCTTTAAGCATATAGCTATTTTTAAGTTCTGTGTAGATTTAAAATAAGTTTCTTGTATGAGGCTGTAAAGCAAGATGAAAAAAAGATGACGTGGATGGGCAATTCATCTGTTGAGTAGAAGTGAGCACATGTAAGCAGATGTAAGTGACAGAAAAGAGGAGAGTATAGAGACAGAGAATTGCTGTCATTACCATAGCAACAGCAGCAAAGCAATTATGTGAAACACCACAGATAGGAAGAAAAGATGAGTTATTTTTACCTGGAATCTCATCTCTTATGGCATGTTCTCTTTAGCTGTACACATTCCACACAGTGTGTGAATCTTTCCCTCTCCCACACCAATCCAGTCGTAGAAATATTTGGGTGGGGAGGACCCCAAAGATCTTCCAACCTCCTGCTGGAGGCACAGACATCTCCCAGCAGCCCATGAACATCCCTCTAGGAAAAAAAAAAAATAAGATGTCCAAATATTATCATTCTGGACTGACATCAAGGGCAAGTTATGGCCACATAAGCCATCAATGACTTAAAATCATTGAGGAACTCAATTTTCTTTCATAAAGTCAAGTGGGTTTATGCTGGAATGGAATAGCTTTGGAAGAGTTTAATAAAATGATTTTTGCAATAGCAAATGCCTCAACTTCTCTTCACAACTTAATTTAACTGGAAAGAGCCTTTTATAGCCACATAGATTCCAACACATCACCAAAACTGCTGATAACTGCTGGTTTGAGCATGAAAAATGATCCTGTTACGATGCCATAAATCAGGATATCTTCTTGAGCAAGAGCAGAGCCCACTGTCAGTGGCACTGGAGGAGTGGTGCTGCCTGGGTGGAATTAGAACAGGGAGGGGAAAATGTTACCTGTCAACATCAAACAGCACCTGCACAGCACTGCAGAGAGGAAGAGAAAAAACACAACACATCTTCCTGCACTCCTTTTTCTCATTCAACAAACTCTCCAGCATGTTGACCTAAATCTATTACTGCCTTTCCTGGTTAAGGAAAAAAGACTTCCAAGTCTTTGAATAACAACACACGAGGTCTGCATTCACTTTAAGTGGAAAATATTAGAAACTCTAACCTGTTTAAAACATTCAAACCAACAATTATTATCCACTTCCATCACTCTTTCCATATTTTGTTCTATATTTCTTGTCAAAACAGAACCTGTTATATAAGTTTTTATGCCTCATTTCATTCAAACACATTTCCATTAATTGATTTTTCGCTGTCTTCCAAATTTAGCTCCTGCCATTTTTTTAATTTTTTTTTTTTCCCCAGAACTTTTTGCAGTCTGCTGGTTTTGCATTAGCTCTTATTGAACATTTCCAGGCCATCCATGTGGCTGGCAATAACACGCATTTTTGAAGAGGAGCAGGGAAAGCAGGCTGTCCCTGGGGACAGAGCAGGAAATGCTGCAGCATTTGCAGTGCCCAGGCAGCAGGTTCTGCACAGCTGCCCTCGGGCTCTGCCTGTCCAGGCAGCACCAGCCCACACAATCACCAGCTCTTTCCATCTGCAGTCCTTGTTTCCAGCCCTTTGGGCAAACACCAATCTGCCACAGATAGAATAGATCAAATAAACAAAAAAAACCCCAAAAAGATCACCAAACAAAAATGTCTTTAACAAATGAAACCTGAAGGAGTGATGCAAGCTGATGATTTCAGTGATTATCAGACTGTGGGAACACCTTCTAATACCAGAAAAACATCAGTACATAAATGATAGGATCTATATTTTATCAGGCTCATACTCACAATATTTTATTGTGTCCTGATGCAGAAGAAATATTTTGTACTCGAGCTCCCTACCTGCCCAGCATTTGAAGCACTTCATGAGCCAAAAGTAACATCTCCCTGGAGTGGTGGATACAAATGCCATGCAGAGTGGAGATTTAAGGGCAGAAATTCCATTGAAGACAGCCAACAGACTCCTCATGGCCACAAGAAAAAACAGATCATTTCTCACAGGACCAAAGCAACCCTGAGCACAACAATAAACCAGCTGCATTTTCAAACCACCTGCAGGCAGCAGGGAAAGGACAAGAGAGAAAAAAATCCTCAAAATTATAATAGAAATACATTTTAGTATAATTCAAAACTATAATGAGATTGTAAATTAAGATCTGCATAAACATATGGACATTTTCCCAGAGTAAAGAATCATCTTTCCATTTCATTCACAGAAAGGAATATATATTTGGGCAGGAAGTCATTAGGAATAATTAATTTGTGTGAACATACATTGTAATTTTTCTAATTTGGCTTTATAGCATTACCCACTGCAAAATGGCACTCCAAACAAATTAAAATGTTCAATTGCAGCTGCAACAGTAATTTTTGGAAAGTACAGCATTAAAGTACTCACAAGGTCAAGGGAACCAGAGACACCTGAATGAGGCAATGAACTTTTGAAGTATTCCTGCAGCTGGGAAATCACACACAGACACACATCCCTACCCCAGGATGCTCAGGACAGTTTTTCTGAGCAGCAGCTTGAGCTGCCATTCCAAGCCCTACTGAAGTCACAGCAAACTCAAAAGCAATTCTGACTGTCTTCTCTCAGGTGACACCATGCAGCTCTGGGTTAAATTTCTTTCAGATGCTTTAAATGTAACTTAGAACATACCACTTACAATCAGAAAACATTATTGTTTATGAATGTTTTATAATGATACTATGGGAAAATCCATCTTTGCTCAAATGATGGAAAAAAAGAAAGATTGAAAAAGAGCCTTGGGATGCTACAACTTGCCAGGGTACTCTCATTAAGTCAGAGGACTTCAGTCACTGTTGTTATTTGTACAGATAGGAAAATGACACTAACTTAAAATATCTAACAATTCCAAAAATTATTTGAGTTGGTTTTTAAAAAATATTAATAGTTAAAACTTACTCCCAAAAATGGAGAACACATGATTTGCATATCTACAAAACCTTGCAGGAGCTGGGAATGTAGAAAGAATACACACATAGAGAAATTCGACTTATAAAAGTGGTACCATTTTATTGACCTCAGTGGAGACACCAATAGCACAGATTAGTAACTGATGATGATTTCAATTTGTTTCCAGACACTGTGGTGAAATGACAGAGGAGAGCAGCCACCACACAAAGGAAAAGGTTGTGATCTGTGCTGCCAGCCTGGCTGTGTGAGGACTCTGCCCAGGCCCCCCTTCAGGGCAGGATTTGTGGGGTTTAGCCCCAGAAGTTCCCCAGTGCCCCAGCTCAGCAAGGGAGAGCAGAATGGGGTGTGGAAGGGGATGGAGCATCCCAGCTCCCCCAGGCAGGGCAGAGGGTGGGGACCACTGAGGTCCCCAGCAGGAGGAGCAGCCAAGGCAGTGGCAGGGGGGATAATAAAGCTCTGGATCCAGTTGTCCCCAGAGCAGCAGCTTGTCCATCCTAGGGAGGGCTGGCAGCAGTGCCAAGGAGAACCAGGGCCCAGAGCAGAGCCATTCGTCCCAGCTCTGTACAGCACAGTGCAGGAAACACATCTGGTTAAAGAGGCAGCTCTGTGCTTTATTGCTCTTGATTTCTTTCTTATTCATGCATCTCTGGATAAATTCAATCTATTCTCCAATATCATCAGAACAACCCCAGGAAGATTTGAGAGCTGAAGCGATGATGTGATCCAGCAGTGTGATGGAGCAGAGATAAAGCTTCAGCAGGCACAGCACTTGCTGATGAAGACTGAGTGTGAGCATCCCCTTCCCAGCCTGGAGGAGGATGAGCACTGATGTTTCTGTTTATGAAATTAACAGGCCCTGGAAGTGCAGCCAGCTGAGAGATCGGGCCATTAGCAGGAGCCCTGCTGACACCCACTGAGGAAAAAACACCAAAGCTGGGACAGCAAATAAGGTTGAGGAGTTGGGGAGTTTTGATTTGGTTTTTTTTGAAGAAGTACAGAGAGAAGTCAGTTCCATTTCAATGACTGCTTCCTCCACATCTGAAAATAACACCCAGCCCTCTCTGTCTGTGGCCAGCCAAGAGCTCAGGCCAAACAGCCAGCAGATGTGGGTGACACACCAGGACAATGGGGGACCTGACTGGGAGCAGCTTGGTGGCAATGGACAGACAGCTGGCTATGTGGATTATTTTTAATATTTAAAAAATTGTGACATTTGTATACACTTGATGGTCTTTATGAGGTTCTCTCTTTATTAATGGATTTTTTTACAGAATTACCAGAATTTTCTTAATGGGAAAGAATCAAAAAATAAAGTTAATACACAGACCTGGTCACCAGATGTCACTGTCTTGTCATTCCAATATGGCCAAAAGTACACAAATCATCAGCAGGAAAACAAATCCTAGATACAAGCAAGAGGTAAGAGAAAATCTGGAGCATGAAGAAACAGTTTCCTTGTTAGTCAGCAGAACAGGAAGAGCAAGATGTCACAGTTTACTGTGTAAGGCGTTTGTCCCTTCTGTGACAATCACCGACTGCATTGATTCCCTGAGGGCTAGGACCAAAAGTCATTTCAGATGACATAACTTATTTTTTGACAAAAAGCAAATGGATTTTTTTGTCTATTTATTTGTTTATTTAAACAACAAATATGGGGGTGAAAACCTTATTCTCTGTAGGACCAGGAGCAGCATCCATGGAGTCCTTAAAGTGTTCTTGCAGTCTCATGGGATCCGACTGAAAACAGCTGGACTGGACTGGTGAAGGGGGATCTGAAGGAAAGGTTTGAGTGGCTGGAGAAGGGAGTAAGTGGGCAGTGTGTGATGATAGAAATGCCACACTGCTCTGTCACTTGGGGCCATGTGTTTGCATTTAAAAAACTCCCACTCCAATGAAAAATAAAACATTCAAGGGAGGGGAGGTGGAGAAGGTGAATTCTGGTGTCATTCAGAAGTACTTCTGAAGACTATGAGCTAAAATGTCATAATATTATCTTTAACACCATTAAACATTCTAAGAATTCAATCAATATACTCCTTGCAATTACATAATTAAAACTCAGAATAAAATAGCATAATTGCTGTTTTATGGCTATCATCACATAATGAGTGGTTTTATGGCAATCTCAGCTAAATCCGCATTTGGGTAGTTTAAAAAGTTGTTGATTTCCACACTACCATTCATGATTTTGATTCTGAATTCATCAAAATAAAGAGGAATTCTGTCAAAGATGTTGTTTGTGGTTTCCTCTTTTAAAAAGATTTGAGAGAGATTTTCCCTTTGAAAGTGTTCAATAAGAGCTTAAAAATTCAGAAACTGCAGAGCGAAAATTCTTTTAGAGGCATAAGCAGCCAGCTTCAAGCTGATTAATAGAAATTCTCAGCACAAAGTGATTCTTAATGAAGATGATAAGCCCCAGAAAATAACCATTTATGGGCAATATATAACTTAACTTAAAACAGCAGCTCAATCACAGAGCCTCCCACACACCACACTCCGTGCTGTGCATCTCGAGATCTGGAGCATGAAAGACACAGCCTAAGGAAGAGAAAGGAACAAAAAAAACTAGAGAGAAATAAATCTCTGTGTGTATCTATTGTGCCTCTCAAATATTGCTTCAGTTTGAGCAATCCTCTGTCCTGGAGCTGCCTCAGCCATTTCCCTGGCAGATGCTCTGCAGCTCAGCCTTTCTTTCTCCCAGTCCCCACCTCATCCCAGTATCCCCCCATATCCCAGTATGTCCCTCTCATATCCCAGTATCCCCCTCTCATTCCAGTATCTCCCTCTCATCCCAGTATCCCCCTCTCATCCCAGTATCCCCCTCTCATTCCAGTATCTCCCTCTCATATCCCAGTATACCCCACCTCATCCCAGTATCCCCCACCTCATCCCAGTATACCCCACCTCATCCCAGTATCCCCCCATATCCCGGTATCCCCCATCCCTGTTCTGGGCTCTGGAGGCACAGGCAGGTCCCCTCACTCCTGTGGGTGGGAGTTGCTGTGGGTGCTCTCAGTCCAGCAGTTTTTGCTCTGTTTTGCTCTGGACAGCATCAAGGACATCAACGGCCCCAGGGTCAATCAGGGACTCACACAAACCCTGCCCGCAGCACCTGGGGCTCCCAAATGCCACCTGTCACACCCCACACACCCCACACCTCATCCAGCGACCTGACTGCAGCTGCTGCTCCTGTAGACAACAGCTAAGGAAACAAATCATTGCAAATTATTTGGTTTTCTGATTGATTACATGCTAATTGATTGGTTAACCTGCCAGGGTGAGTTCAGCAGTAGAAAACAGCACCGAGATAAGGCAAAGCAAATATCATATCTCACATCTGAACTCCTGACCAAGCTGAGAGGCTCCTCTCAATTCTGAGGTTTATTATTAAGAGATTTAAAATAAAACCCATTCTGCACTTTAATCCAAGTAGGCGGCAGTTCAAGCTGAGTCCTCCATAAACAGGAAGCAGCTGTGTATGGATCTGTGAATATAAGGTTCTCATTATATTTTCATGTTCCTTTTCTGGACTGTGCACAGTGTCTTAATTTATGCTAAAACAATCTGCTGTAACTATTCATTCATCTCACTTTTCAGGTTCATAAACATTTACTCCTCATCTGGATTTGATATTCTGGTTTTTGTTTTCTTTCCTGCCTGCACATGAGGTAGAAACAAAGACTTCTGCATAGTAAGCAGCAAGAGATTCCTTCAGGAAAATCATCATTCGGTGTCTTTCTGTGATTCTCTTCAAATGTGAACACATTGGTGTGTGCTTCCACAAATCTTCCCACCTTTTCTGCATTTAATAGCTTACTTTTGAAGCAGAGGCACTCCACATAGTGGGAGCCAAAAAGTACATTAGTGAATTCATCTAAGAGAATTGTGCTGTTAAATAACATGCAGACTAATTAATGTAAATGCCGTGGTGAGAACATGCTGACATTGTTGAAGTTAATGATCCAGCTGCATTATCATTTCCAGCACTGTAATGTTGAGAAAACCCAGGAAACTTGGTTTTCTGCATTCTGGGCATCTTTCAGAGACAGCTGAACAGCCTTTCTACACTGCAGTAAAGACCACTGTGAATTTACCATGGAATTTGGGGCAGCAGATTTGCTTTACCTGCTGCCTTCAGCAAATTTTAGCCTTTTAGTGTTTGATAAGTCAGAGGTCTCAGCGCAGTGAGGTGGGGAGGCCTGACCCATCTCCATGGTGTTATTATATTTGTGCATATAACCAGTGTGTAATGCACAGCATTGTGAGGAAAGGCAGCCCCTTTGCCAGGCTGACCTGGGCCGTGCAAATCCAGCTGTCTGCTTGTCACCCATGAATATTCTGCAGCTGGAGCAGCACTGATGGCTCTGGTGAAGATGGGCAGGCTAGGGGGAAGGCACACGAACTGCAGTGGTTCTTCTTGATAACAGCAGAGGCAAAAAAAGCACCCATCCTGCCAGCCAAAACAAGGAGATGCTCTTCAAAGTTTATCAAAGAGCTGTTCTGTGGAATAATTGCTTGTCATTTCTGTATAATTACGTTTTGACTGAAACTGCTCTTCAGACAAGGTATGAGATCTGAAGCTGGGGCACTTCTCACCCTCTTGTCTGGCTGCATGGCAATGAAGGAGGCTTTTGAAAAATCAGAAATCCACATCAGCAACACACAATACTCCCAAAGAAAATGAATAAAAAACCACGGTGCTCTAAATGGCCTAAAGAGCAGGACAGCCAGTGATGAGTCTGGGTTCATTTCATCGGGAGTGTTTTTGCTGCTAATTTTCACGGTCCAGAATGAAGGGCAGAGCTTTAAAAGCAGCAGAAAATCACAATGAAAACAATGCAACATCATGGCCTCAGTTGATATTGCAGAAGCCAGGAATCACTGCCATCTTATTTCAGCAGGGCTGAACAGCCCTGACTCACAAATGCCTTCAGCCACCAAAGGACTTTTTTCACTGGGGAAATGAAGCTCATACGTTCCAGCCCCTGTCTCCAGCACTGCTGCCATATATTCCTTTTCTACCTAAGTGTGATTCATTTTACAGTTTTAGAATTTCCTTTCAGCTACAAGTCCTGCACAGGGACTGCTACTTAGGAAGGATAAAAATGGCAAGCACAGTTTGCCATTTGCCTAAAGCCACTCAGACCCAGCGTTTCTTTGAAATCACAGCAACACAGACTGCACTGGCCAAGGGAGAGATCTGATAAGGCCCCAGGCAGACAGACAGACAGACAGACACACAGACCTTTTCCTCCCATTGCTTTTTCTATGAGCAGACAATTACTTTGAAGATTATACTCTAGGGAGAGATTTTCTAGAGATCTCAGATAGGCTCTAAAGTCTGAAACAAAGGTACAGATTCTAAAAATGTTCTCAGTGATGGAAAAATACCAAATACAAGATAAGACACTACAACAAAATCACATTTTATGAGAAAATGGAATTGTTAAACTGGTTTTTCTGTCCTTTCCTGTAACTCGTGTTTTTACTGACAGTGCATGTCTGTTAAACAGAAACAGATTTATTTGAGAGTGACCTCCTTGGACAGCCCTTCTTTTGTTGTTGAAAACACTGTCAGAAATGGGGCATCAAGAGTACACCTTGTGCCATCCAACCCAGCCCTTCAGCCCAGAGCAGCTGCTTTCACAAGGACAGCAGCTTCAAAGACGTATCCTGGCCTAAATTTCAGTTATTCTGCTATGAAGGAATGAAACTATTTTCCCAAAGGAATTTTAAGCTGCTCCGAGCCAAAGTCTACATAATTTCAACTCTGCAGGTTTCATGTTTGGGTCCTGTCCAAACTCTCAGTTCAGAGTTTCCTACAGAAACCCAAACAAATGTGGCTCTTACTGAAATGGCATCCCAATTCTTAGCCACCAAGCCATCCTCCTTTTCTGAAGGTCACTGAAAATTCTTTCCAGTGAAATGAACAGAGGATTCGGAAGACCAGAAAGTTTTTCTATCAATTTGAAGTCCGCAATGAAAGTTATGAAATGATAGATCTATTTTAAAGCTAATCACGGCTTTGATGCTCCTCATCCAGTGCATGCACAAAGAACCTTTGGTTGGCTACACAGCAGCTAATTTGAGGCTACCAATATATCATCCTCCTTCTCCAAGGATGTTTTAAACTGACCCTTTATTGCCTCTTTTTATCTCTTAAAAGCTAATGTCACTCCAGCCCTGGCAGAGTGTCACTGTGTGGAGCTTCCAGCACTCAGTAGCCTTTGGAAGAGCATTCCCATGGTAACACTTCAAATCCTGATGGCTACATCCTTTCAGCACAATAAGCTTAATATCAGATGCTTGAGCCATCTGTCCAGCTCCTCAATTAACATAGTTAGCTACTGAAACTTCAGCAATTACTGAAATCACACTGCAATCAAGGAACAGATCCACAGCACAAAAGCAGGACAAAGGAAACCTTAAAGCCACATTCAAGCAGAGCTGGTATTAGCGAAAAGAGAAGGAGAGCTACTTCATCCAGAATTAAATGCAATTAGAACTTAATCTGGCCCATAATATCGGCCTCAAGTCCTCATTTGGACTGTGAGGCAGCTGGAATCCTGTTCTCATTACTGTAAATGACTGTGCGGTGCAAGGAAACAGAAAACCCAGCTCAGCACTTGTGTCCTCTATAAATAAACTTGAGAAACACCTTGGGACCGAGATGAAAGCAGAGCAGCCTAAGGCTGGGCCGTCAGAAGGAGGATGCCCTTTTCTATTAGATTTTGACTTGAGGCAAACGCCGTGCAGTCATCTGGATATGTTAAAAACCTGGTGGATAAAAGTGCACTGAGCACCAGCATCAAACCCATGATCTGTGGGGTGAGAGCACTGGGATAGAGCAGGGACCGGGGGGACAGCACAGGAGTGACAGAGAGCCG